TAAGGGATTTTTGGATTTTTGATAAGTGTAACCCCCTTAATGAATATTCATGAATATGATGATTGTGATCACTAGTTTGACAAATATCATCATTAATTAAAGGAGTGTAACACAAACACGATATAAAATTTTTTTATAGACAAAGAGTAAAATTGAATGTTATTTAGTATTGGCATGATATCAAAGAAGAAATGTTATTTATCAATGACTAGAGGTACTTTTTCTTTTGTATTGATACCCTTTTTATTTTTTTTATAAATAAATATCTGATTATTATAAATATTTTATTGCAATCAAAACATGGAGCAAGTTTGTCACATCTTTTAGGTAATTTATTACAAGATTTTTTATCAAGTTGATAAAAGATTAGTGTATTTGCTTTTAATAATATTAAGTACAATTATAAGAAAATGTCAAAGATAAAGAAAGGTACATGACTGTTGAAGATGGGTGGATAACAGCTCTTAGACGATTTAGAAAAAATTTAATATGCAACATTGGATCACAGGAAATTTACAGATGTTGGAGTATACTATTTCAAATACCCAAAACAATACAGTTATTCTCAATCTTCCTCATGTATATAAGGCTACTTCTGACCACGTTTCTCCTGATGATACAATGATGCAATTAAGTTTTCAGGGGGGGACACAAGGCTCTGGAGTTTATCAAAATTGCATCATTGTCAAAGAATGCTTGTGTGGATCTTATCTTTCTTACAGCACCTGAACATGAAAAGGTTGAAAAGTGCCAGTAATAATCTTATTTCTAGGGTGAAAATGGTTCTGCAATCAAGAAGTCACAACTTGGGAGGTGGTCTGAGGGGAGGTTTCTGCCAATCTTACAAAAGCATTTCATTTGTCCAAGCCTTTCAACTTGTTCAATCACCTCACTTGTGGAAAAAAAACTCCACAGTTATGAGGAGTGCATTGCATGGCAATTGCATGTTTGTAATAGGAAATTTTATTAAATCTTACACCCATGATCAATATCAGATTTATTATAGTTTTAAAGGAATTATACAATTGGGGAGAAAAATTTTTTTCAACCCTCTCTAATGGCACTAATTCAAACCTGATCAAAGGGAGAACAGAACTATTTATTCATTTTTTTATTGTTGATCCCATAGACCTGGGTAGACACACATTATTGTTTCAAAGCCGGGTTCCTTATTCCTGCATGGACTGGTGATGCAATTGTTTGTTATGTAAATGATAATATCAAATGTATTGAATAATCATTGTGATGATGTGGGGACACATGAGGAAAGTATTAAACACAATATCATGTTTATTTTTTTTAACCAAAATATATAATTAATTGTATCGAAAGTATACATGATAAAAAAATTTTCAGAGCGATTGCATGGAATCCAAGACTGGACCAATCACACCATTACATGTTCCAAGGTCAATCAAGCAATTATTTGAATACATTGGTGTACTTTTGTAATCTTATTGAAGGTGATAGGTTTGTATGCAATTTAAAATTTTTAGGGTCCCATCTTTCTTTGTTCTTGTAGGTAGCATTTTACAAATCAAGTTATTTACCTTAATGTAATTAATCATTTATATATTAATTCGTGATACGTGATAGAAGTAGATGATCGGCATATTTTTTAATAATAAAAAACGGGATTAATATCTATTAATAAAAAGTCTCATTTTCTGAATCCAGACACGTTCATATAATTCTTTATTATTCTTTCATATCTCAAATTTTATTTTTTTTATATCAGACATACTTTTATATCAAATCAAATTTATAGCTAGCTGCATTCATATATTAAAAAAATTTTTTTGTACATATTGTATAAATATAAAATTTTTATTTAAATGTCTAAACGTAAAGAAGTTTCACCAACACTTGCATCTCAAGGAATAATTGACTTTAATTTATACTATGGACCTTTTGCTCATCACTGGTGGCATGAAATTTCTACTGAAAATGGCTCAGAATTTTACCATATTTGTTTAGGCATGACAATTTTAACTGAACTAAATAGTAGAAAATTTTTGCTTTGTATTATTATGATGAGAGCCAAAGGTTTACACCAGAGGATATTGGGGGGTGTCATACAAGTAGATCAACAAATCTAATTAATATCATTATGATAAATCAAATCGAATTGAATTGAATCACCCTCAAATTTGATTCAATTCTATTTGTTTGGAGCCTTAGTTCAAAGATTTTGTAAAAATAATTGTTTAAAACAATTATAAAAAAGCCTACAAAGTGAACATAAAATAATATATAGGTATATGAAAAGTAATAATAAGTATAATGGTTCTAATGAATATGAAAAGTCAATTAATTTTTTAGAAAAAGGTTGCGGTTGTGGTTGCTCTTCAAGAATTCCCAAGGGAGAATTTGCAGAATTGCATGAATCCTTTCAAGCTCTTTTTAAATCAGAACAGGACATATTTTTAATGGCCCAACTTAAAGCCATGGATGGTGGATCTATAAGCACCAGCAGATGCCTTAAAAAGAAAACTAGATCTAATAAAAGAACTTTCTATCATTGAGATCACAATACACTTCTTTGTCAAGAAACTTATCTCAATATGTTAGGAATTGGCAGTACTTATTTTGAAAATATTAGAAATCACTTAATAAACAATGGTCTTTTACCAAAAATTCATGATAATATTAAAAGGATGCCTCAATGGACAACTAAAATGGTGATTGATAAAAATGTTGCAGAAGTAGTAAAGAGTTTTCTAGAAAATTATGCAGAAGTCCATAGATTACCAAGTCCAGGAAGAAGTAACAATAGAATAACTCGATCAATTGTATTCTTACCAGCTGAAATGAGTTATAAATCAGTCCACAGAGACTTTCTGGCTGGTCTAGAAAAAGATGAATAATTTGAAATCCTTAAAATATGATGCATTCAGAAAATTATGACATCAACTGACACCAGAGATTCAAATTATGGGTCCAAGAACTGATTTGTGTGATACTTGTCAACATTTTAGAGATGGTTTACATTATAAAGAACATCTGTCCAAGGCTAAATTAGAAAGAAATTATTATAATAAAAATACCAAATTGGCTGAAGAACAAAGGAAACTAGCTGATCAACATTATTCAAAGGGTAAAACACCATATTGCAGTATTGAGGTCACTGCTCATTACAGTTATGATTGAGCCCAAAATGTTCATGTACCACATTCTGATCAACAGATAAATAAAATTTATTATCTTAGTCCATGTAAAATCCATTTATTTGGTAGTCAAGATGAAGCAGTAAGGGAACAAATTAATTATGTTCTTGATGAAGATGAAAAGGTCCTAATGGCACTCTTAGTATGATTTTTGATGGAGTTAAGAAATTGAACAAAGGTGAAAAACATTTAAAGATTACTTGTGATAATGCTGGGGGA